TTTTTTTTTGGTTTTTCTCCGGTACCGGGAACCGAACTCACGACCTTGCGCTTGCTAGGCAGGCGCTTTTGCCGCTGAGCTAAATCCCCAGCCCAATACATTTTTGTTAATTAATTTGCTGAGTGTCTGTAAAATGGAGATGTGTGGATTTCTCAGGGGCATCGACTCCAATTCTGTATTACTTTGAACCCTATATGAGGTCAGCATTATGATCCCCATTACATAAATAGAAAAAGGAGGCTTAAGGAGAGGAGATGTTGTCTTTAAGAACACATAGCTGTGGAAGTGTCAGAGCTGGGATTTGATCTCAGGTTTGTTTGGCCCCAAATTCCTGTTAATAATTCCATTAGATTTTTGGAAACATTTACTGATTTTCGATTTTTCAGTACTGGGGATTGAACCCAGGGCCTTTGCACTGAGCTACATCTCTGGTCCTTTAATTTTACTAGTGTGTACCTGTTTACAGTTATCTTGGCTACTTTTCTCTGTTGCTGAGACAAAATACCCAATGCCCAAAATTAAGGGAGGAAAGGTTTGTTTAGCTTACAGTTTGTGGAGGTTTCAGTCTATAATCAGCTGGCTCCAAGGCAGGGTGGCAGGGCACAGGGGCAACACTTCAAGGCGGCACAAGACAGCAAAAGCAGCAAGAGCAAAAGTGGGGGGACAAGCCTCTTTTCCTCCTTTATACTGTAAGCAGGCTCCCTCCACCCAGGTGGTGTGTAGCACTCACATAAGCTCCATGCCCTCCTCCTGCACAGGCTCAGCATGATACAAAGTAAGGACCAGCCTAACCTTCTAAACTTCTCAAGTTGACACAATGAACAACATCCTAGAGCAGGAAGCGTGTGTCCTTTTCACCCCAGGATGTAGAACTCCTGAGTTCTTAAGTTAAGCTTCTGGACTCCTCAAGTTGACACAACGTATCAACCATAACAACTTTCATAATTACATTCATCAGGGAGAGTTGGTACATAATACATCTTCATAGGGTTTACTTTCCCTTGCTTTCTCCTCCCTTCCCCTTCCACCCTTTTTTGTATTGTGACAGGGTCCAATAAACTGCTACATTGCCCAGGCCTCCCAGAATACTGGGATTACAGGGATGTGCTACCATGCCTACTGGAAACAAATTTTAAAAAAAAATTTTTTTGAGACAGAGTGCTATACAGTTCATGCTGGCCTTGACCAGCCCAGGCTGGTCTCAAACTCACAATGATCCTCCTGCCTCAGCCGCCCCAGCTCTGGGATTATAGGCATGTGCCACCACGCCTGGCAATTTTTAGCTTTTTAAATTTATTTATTTTTGGTTTTTTTTTTGAGACAGGGTCTGGTTGTATAGGCTAGGCTGGCTTTGAATTCACTTGTAGCCCAGGCTGGCCTTGAATTTATGGCAATCCTCCTGCCTCAGCCTCCCAAGTCCTGGGATTACAGATATGTGCCCCAATGCCTGGCTAAGTTTTTCTTTGAATGAAATCTTGTACAAACCCCAACTATGTACAAATGAAATCTTGTACAAACCCCAACAAAACAGATGAAATGATATTTTACTAGCATTAGTTAATAAGTTAATTACTTTTTGTGGTACAGGAGATTGAACCTAGGACCTCTGCATTGAATTACATCCTCAGCCCTTTTTCTAAATTTTAAAAAAATTTTTGAGCTGGGCCTGGTGGTGCAAACCTGTAATCCCAGCACTGGGAGAATGAGGCGGGAGGATGAGGCAGGAGGATCGCCAGGAGTTCAAGGCCGGTACCGGAAAAAAACCAAAAAAAAACCCAAAACCGATTTTGGCCAGGTATAGTGGTACACAACTTAACTCCTAGCCCTCTGGAGGCTGAGCCAGGAGGATCACTGAGAGTTCGAGGACAGCCTGAGCTATATAGTGAGTTCAAGGGCAGCCTGAACTACATTGCAAGACCCTGTCTCAAACAAAACAAAACAACAACAAAACAAAAATAAAAATAGATTTCGTTGATGAAACTTAAATCAACCCTTTGCGTTGATCCAGAAGCAGTTCAGTTCTAGAAACCTGTTGAAACTCACTGCATTTCCAGCCTGGCTCTTCAAAGGTCCCTCGCCTTTCAGTGAGAAACTTGAAACTTTCTGGGTACTTCCCCACGGCCCAGCCTTTTTCTAGCACGATCACTCCGGAAGCCTGCGCATCCACCCCTTTTGGGCAAAAAAAATAGGCCCACCCCCAAGAAGAGAACCCGGCCCCGCCCCCACGGCGTTGATTGGTAGGCAGCTCTTCAGCGCTCCCAATAGCTTTGTCGGGATTCCAGAGAATCCGCCTCCGACCCATCCCCTCGTAGGCGGCCCTGGTTTGTTTTGGCGTCAGGCGCGCGCTGTGATGACGCCACGACGCTGATCCGAGAGGATGATGGCGACAGCAGCGGCGGCGGCAGCGGTGGCGGCGGCGGCGGCTGTGGCTACGACAGGGATACGGTCCGCAGAGCCGCCGAGACGCCGAAGAGCCAGCCGCCCGCTCGAGGTGAGGCGACCTGTCTCAGGGCGGCGGCTGGTGACTGGCGGCTGGCGGCCGGCGGGCGGGAGGGGCTAACGAGCTGAAGTATCGGTAGTTTCCTGGAGTACAGGGGCCTACTACGCAGCCAGGAGCCCTCGGCCTGTCTGCACTGGGGCCTGCAGAACAGGAGAGCAGGCCGGGCGATGGCTCCTCCGGGTCGCCAGTGACCCAGACTGGCTTGGTTTTGAAAAGTGCTGCCATGTTGGGCAGCCCGCTTCTAGTGGGCCAGGTGGACGTGGTCAGCTGCGCCTCTTCAGTTTAGCCTTCCCGCGACCAGCGCGAGTCAGGTTGAACTAACCTGGCGACGCTCATTGCCTGCTTGCCTCCGAAGCCCGCTGCACACCCTTCCTTTGCTACTGAACACCGGAGTCTGGCCGGGCAACTGATTGTTTCCTTATACTGGCTGCAATAAAGCAGGCCTGGTCCAGCGTGGTCGCCTACATGCAGACCTGTCATGCTCGCAAGGGGAAGCCTGGCCCCCTATTGCTTCTCAGTGAAGCTACTGATGTGATAATTCCCGCTTGAAAATCTGAATAACCCCCTCACTACTGAAAACTGGCTTCTTAGTGACCATAAATGTAGGCCAAGCTGCTTTTTTTTTTTTTTTTTTTTTTCGGTACTGGGAATCGAACTCACGACCTTGTGCTTGCCAAGCAGGCGCTTATGCCCCTGAGCTATATCCCCAGCCCAGGCCAAGCTTCTTAGCTCTTCATAATTTGTTAAAAGCCTAACTCTACAGTCAACACTTGGGCGCCTTTTTTCACCCTGTACTGAGGATTGAACCAGGCCCTTCACACTGAGCTACACCCCGAGCCTTTTATTTTTGAATTTTGAGCCAGGGTCTTGCTAAGTTAGGCAGACTAGGCTTAAACTTTCAATCCTTCTGCCTCAGCTTCCCAGAATCCTAGGTTTATAAGCATTTGCTACCACACTTGGCTAACACCTGGGCACTTGTGCTCTAATACATAGTTTGTTGTTGAGCAGTGAGTTTCCTGTTAGCCCTGTGGTTTCATTCCCTTGTGCTTTAGATATAATTGTAATGTTCTTACACTCTGCTCCCATGGGAAACATATATGTGCACGTTTTTTTGGTACCGGGAATCTAATTCAGGACCTTGGGCTTGCCAGACAGGCACTGTGCCACTGAGCTATATCCCCAGCCCTGTGCTTGTATAGTCCACCTGAAATGTCATTTCTTTGGAAAAAACCTCCCTTGCTTCATGTGAGCATTGACTACCCTGTACACCATGCTACTACTTCTGAGTGTATCATGTTATGTCACATGATGATTTTACTTCTGCATCTGTCTGGCTGTGTATCAGGCATAAAGGAGGGGCTCTAGCTATCATGGCTTTCCTCATGATAGCCACCCTACTCAGCCGAAGCTCGCTCTGCAGAGCCAGTTTCTCTCCCACTCTTTTTTTTTCTCACTCTTCACTTTTACCTTCTCAAATAAACTTAGTCACTGTTAAAAAAAAGTAAGGGCTCTAGTAGCTATAGCATTTGCTGAATCTATTGAGATAGGTTACCTATGTATGAATATATACAGATGCAGTTATATTAGTCAGCACTTATCAGGGCCAGGAACTGGGATGACTGCAGCAAACACCTATGTGTAGGTGCTGCAGCCTCTTCCCTGATGGTCTAAAGTCTGTTAAAGTAGTTTTTCAAGGTACAAACTTCAAGGGTTTCACTCTTAAATTTCTTTTTTATGTTTCTTTTTAAAAATTTTTTTTGGTTATATAGATTAATAGGTTTCATTTTGGCATATTTGTACACGCACATATTTTGATCATTCTCATGTGTCTTCTCCCCTATCCCCCCCTTGCTTCCGTGTCCCCACTTTTTTGTGCTGGAGATTGAGCCCAGGACCTTGTGCTGTACCATTCAGCCAACACCCGCACCTCCTCTTGCTTTTTAAGATTTTGATTCAGAAGATCTGGGGTAAAAATCTACATTTTGAAAAAAAAACAAAACCAAATGATTATACTGTGTTGCCTGATTGAAGATCTGTATCATCGCTGCAGGAAACTATTGTCTTTTTTTGTCCAGTGGGAAAGGATAGCTGTGGATTTTGGACTCCAGTTGTTGTGTCATTGCCTGTACCTTGGAAACAGAATACAGTTTCTTGGTTAGAAGGATGAGCTTTAGAATTCGAAAGGCCTGGATTAGTTTTTGGCTTTTCTGAGATCTTGAGGCTCTGAGTCCTAATTTCCTAATTATTATTATTATTTTTAGAGTCTCGTTATGTAGCTCAGGCTGGCCTTGAACTTACTGTCTAGCCTGGGCTGGCTTCAAACTCATGGCCATCCATGTGTGCTGGGATTGCAGGTGTGCATCATCACACCTGGGCAATTTCCTAATTCTAAAATAGAAATAATCATGCCTACTTCATGAGGATAGAGTGTATATGAGGTGCTTAGCAGTGTTGAGACTCTGTAAATGGAACTATTGGCCATTCTTCCCAGAGTGTCCCTTGTCAGAAGAAAATCTCTTATTTTTGTGGTGCTGGAGATTTAACCCAGATCCCTGCATATGTTAGGCAAATGTATACTTTCACATTAGCCACAGAAAAATCTCATCTTTGGGTGTGTGTGTGCATGGTACTGGGAGTGGAACTCACTATATCCCCAGTTCTTTTTTATTTTTCATTTTTTATTTTGAGATGATCTCAGTAGGTTTTCCAGGCTGGATTTGATTTTGTGTTTTTTTTTTTTTTTTTTTTTTTGGTTTTTCTCCGGTACCGGGAACCGAACTCACGACCTTGCGCTTGCCAGGCAGGCGCTTTGCCGCTGAGCTAAATCCCCAGCCCCTGGATTTGATTTTGTGATCCTCCTGCCTCAGCATCTCAGGGTGCTTGGGTTAGAGGCAGGCGTCAACATGCTTGGCTTGTTTATTTTTTGAGACAAGGTCTTGCTCTGCAGTTTGGGCTGTTCTTGACTTGCAATGTAGCCCAAGCTGGCCTCCCTTGAATTTTTGGTTCTCCTGCTTTAGCCTCTCAAGTGTTGGGATTACAAGTGTATGTGATGATGCCTGCCAAAATCTCATTTTAATAAATATTTTGCCTTTTAGACTGAACTTTTACTAGGAAGCTGCCTTGTGATATATGATTTTTTTCGAGTCATTTCTGGTTATCAGAGGAAGGTCTGACAGCACTGTGCTTGCTTGTCATTAGGATAAATGCAGTTGGCCATTCTAGAAGAGAATTGGAATGCTAATTCACTAGAAAGTGGGATTGCTGAATAAGCTTCTTCTCTGGGTCTAATTACAGTTCTATACTTAAGTTGTATAAATGAGCTAGAGAAAGTGCAACCTTCAGGAAAATAACTGGAATGACTTTACAGGTTCTAGTGTCAATGGAATCAGGAATAATAGATGCTGGCATTCTCTCTCAGTCACAAGTTCCTAGTAAAGTGAGTGAGACTTTGGTTTGGCCTTCCATTTTCTTTTATAAGTTTGAGCATGTTATATGGGGAACTTCGATCCTCTTCACAGCTTCCCAACTATATGATGATGTGATTTCTATAGGAATTGGCCCATTAAAGTTCAGGATAGCTGAGAACAGCTGTTTTTATTGATGTATGGTCTTATACAGTAGTATATTGTTCTCTGGGTATATCTTGGCACATGGAGAAAATTTGAGAAGTACAGCTTTGGGAAAAAATAAGCAATTCTGCTTGTTGATAGCTAGAGAGAGACTTACTTATTTGAACTCCTTTTCTTTCCAGGTATCTTACTCAGTAAACATTAGGATGGTGTGTGTTGGCTTGGTCATCACTAATTCTTGGTATAGTCCTCTGTTGTCCTGTCTGACATGACACTAAGGTAGAAAAATGGATTTTCATTTGCTGGGAGAAAATTTATCTTAGAGGGGCTCCTACCAGGCTTGGAGTGGCCTCTTAAGGCATAATAAGAGTGATAGGTCAAGGGACTCTTGGTGTGGAACTATCTGGGGTGTTTGTTTAGAGCAGACTATAGCTGCCTTCTTTTTGTCTGTCACAACCTACAGCAGGAGTTCAATAAGTTTTTGTGACCTGAATGTTGGAAGTTTGAAAGGAGAAATCCTGGGCAATTTCCTAATTCTAAAAATTCTTGGGAATTTTCCTAATTCTTGGAAAAAATTCCAATTTTTTCCTATATTATCAAGGTCTGTACTTCTGTTGGTGGGATATCTTTAATGGGGTTGTGGATCATGGTAAAAATTCCAATTTTTTCCTATATTATCGATGTCTGTACTTCTGTTGGTGGGATATCTTTAATGGGGTTGTGGGTCATGGTAAAATTAGGAGACCATAGCAATCTTGTGAATGTCTCTTTGTCTCAACCCTGACAGGGGTTTCTGCCTAGTAACCATTACCATATAGAGCAGTATGTTTAACTGGAGTCCTTGAGAAGTGAGGTTCCAAATTCCATGTTACTATTTTCTTTCTCTCATTTTTTTCCTTCAGTACTGAAGATTGAACCCAGGACCTTTGCACTGACCTACATCCCCAGCCCTGTTTTTAGTTTTATTTTGAAGGAAGAGCTTGCTAAGTCACTATGTTGCCTGGGCTGTTTTTTGTTGTTGTTGTTGTTTTGTTCTTATCTTTTTGAGACAGGGTCTTGCTGTGCAGTTCAGGCTGGCCTTGAGCTGCTTTGTAGCCCAGGCTGATCTTGAAACGATCTTCCTGCCTCAGCCTGTTGAGTGCTGGGATTACAGGTGTGTGCCACCACACCTGATGTGCACGTTCTCTTTTTCTCTCTCTCTTTCACCTTCCCTCCCTCCCTTTCCTTCCTTCCTTCCTTCCTTCCTTCCTTCCTTCCTTCCTTCTTTCTTTCCTTCTTCCTTCCTTCCTCTCTTGTCTTGTTCTTCCCCTCCCCTTTCAGTTTTTTTTTTTTTTTTTTAGTTTTTTTGGTTTTTCTCCGGTACCAGGAACCAAACTCACGACCTTGCGCTTGCCAGGCAGGCGCTTTTGCCGCTGAGCTAAA